GTGGCCACACAAACTCAGGGGCAGCCTACCAACTTATTATTTTAACCAACAAGACATGGCAGGGGAGATTAGAAGGCTCCTGCAGGGCAGAGCAGGCACGGTCACAGACCCCTAGGGGGTATCATAGCCAACCTTGGGTACCCCACACTGTGACGCATGTAAATAATTTTTGAAAAAGCAATTATATGACTCGCTTTTCGATTGCAGCTGTAGTAGATTCCAAGCAACTATTCTTAAACGTATTAATTTGGCATAGCATAAGTGTTTGAATCTGCACAGCTCTGCTTTTAAAATCCAATATGAAGTTATTCGTGTTGTACAAACATCCATCCAGTCTCGTTACTCAAACATCAAATCCAAATTTTCAGAAGCGGGCTGGCACAATGGAATGTCCATGGCTTCCCTGGGTACCATAGGACTTGGCAGTCTGCCACACACTTTCCAAGTGATACCATTGTTCATATCCTCCCATGACTTAGATATGTTCTTCCATATAACAGTATTAGTAACTGTTTTAGCTTTTAAATGGCTCAAAAACCCCATATGGCACAATTCACAAAACATCATGGATTTATCCATGATACTGTTTTGAGAGAGAGGAATAATTTACCCTGTTCCAACAAAGTATCCATAAAATATGGTACAAATATCATATTTTGTCATATAAAATGCACATTTTTCTCCCAGAACCACTTGGGGGAAATGGGGTACACATTATATGCAAGAAGTACAGATCCCCATAGATCCAGAAGGTTCGCAGCAAGGGAGCAGTGGCGGCATTAATTGCTGCGCTGCCAGGACCCATGGCAAACAACACTGCCACCAGTCCCCTGCTACCAAGTTTCCAAAACCATGGAGAGCCCCCAGGCCAGATGATGTATAACCCTGCACACTGGTTCATTCCTGTGCATGTTCCTGGACCTGGCACACAGCCTTAAATCTGTCGTTCCAGACTGGGCCAGTAATTTTGTCAGGCTGTGGCTAGACCACACACATGGCCCTGCTACAGTGTATGTGGTTAGATCTGGTACATGACCCCAGACCCAGCATGCCAGATTACCTAGTTACCTGTCCTGGAAGGTAAGAATGTTTTTCTTCAAGCTCTGTGCAAAAAAACCCAAAACAAAACAGGGT